GGTTGCTCCGCCTGGCTCCCCGCCCCCCAGCGCAGGGACCCCCGCAGTCTCTAGGCTGTGGCCAGAGTTTACTTTCTGCTGGTCCCGAGGTAACTTCGCACCCTCCTGCCCAGCCGGTCCCCGAGCCTCGGCGCAGCCCGCGGAGACGCCTGCATCCGGCCCTCGGGGCCGCGCTCTTTCAAAGCGCTTCGGGAAGTGGCTGAGCCCCGTGTGGACAGCGCCTTATCCACTTCCTTCTGCTGAAACGTAAATGCCCCTGCCCGACCCCGCTGCTGGCAGGGGGAGTGCTGGGTTGGGAAACGAGACCACTGAGGCTTTAGGTAGGCTTGAAGCAGTGAACCCCCGCGCTGTGCAAAGCTTCTGGTGGCTTTTCTGGAGTCTCTCATTCAGCTTTTGGCCCCCTTTTTTTTCCTCTCCACATGAGTGCTGAGAGCTGGAGACGTGTCAAGGTAGCTCGCTGCTGGAGCGTGTCAAGGTGTGCGGGAAGCTCGCCCCCCCCCTTGCTTTCTCAGCGTGGACTGGACTACAACACGCATCGCTCGCTGCACTGAGTGGGCTTCAAGGCAGGAAAACCCGAAGACATGGAGCTGCTGGTGTCTGGGGTGGCGGGAAACGCTTTAAAGACAAAGCCAGACCTCCTGCTGTCTCTGATCACTAAGGGAGGCTGAGTACTGTTGTCAAGAGGCTAACAAAACGCCTCTTTTTAACACCGCTTCCCACTTCTGGCTGCCCTGCACTGAGGGCCTGAGCCTGAGACAGCCCGGAGATATCCCCCAGCCGTCGAGATATCTCCACCTCCAAACCACCAAAAAGTACAAGTCGGCCAAAGTCTAGAATTATGTCAAGACAGCTGGAGGGTTGAAGCATGGCACCAACCAGTGAATAGTAAAATTATGTTTACATCAAGACTCTTCTTTTCCTTACTGTACTATTAAAAATAAATGAAGACTCAAGGAACAGGTATTTCCACCCTATTAAATATATATGTGCCCATGGCACAATTAATATTTACTGTCTAGCTTGTAGGAGTTTAAATCACTTAACGTCTCTGGGCTTGGGTTTATCCTCCTGTGCCGGACACCTGTAGTATGTGCTGCAGAGGCGGTCTTGGAGAGGCCCCTGGGCGAGTGTCTGCTCGCGAAGTCATTCCGGCTGCCCGGAGACAGGGCAGTGCCAGCAATAATACTCGGCTGACTTCAGCCGGCCTCGTGGTCCTGAGCCCGCGTGTCTGGGCTGGCAGGTTGGGCTGCAGTGTCTGCCTGGGAGATGTGTGGTCTACGTTTGGAGAGAGGAGGTTTCTCATCGTGCTCGGCTTAACATGAGTTCGTCCCAGGGCCGCCTCTTTCAGTGGGAGTCCTCCATGTCCCGCCCTTAGCCGCGGGTGTGCCGAGCTGTGCCTCTCGCTTGCTTCCTGCTCTTGGGGACCCGCGAGCCGCGTGGCGAGTGTCACCGCACCGGGGGCCTGACCTCGGCTCTGGTTTCAGAGGGACACTTGCCTGAGCAAGAACTGCTGGAGCCACCCGTAAATGAATGCGCACCTGCGAGCAATCACCCGCCAGACTTACCCTTCTGTTCCTCTTGCTTCGGGATGCTTATGGAAGGCGTGGAGAGTCGCTTGGAGACAAAATACATTGTACAAAACCAGCGGATATATGTTGTCTATCGACCCGTTTTAAGAGTGGCTAGTCCCCATTGGGCAGGGCCGAAGCCCATATGAAGAAGGACCTATTTTATCTTAAAGTGGTGTAGTGGCCAGATGCTCATACCACCGCAGATGGAGGGAATGAATACCTGCTTTCATCGAAGACGATTGGACTTTGCCCGATTAGTTCCCTTGGCGAAGGGGCGTTCCTACATGCGTCCACAGAGCCCAGGCCCTCGTGCCTCCAGCCCGCCGCTTGCAATTCAAACCATTTTGGTAGGAGCAAGCTAGTCCTGGCAGTGAGACGTTGCTGCTTGTAACTGAGTCGCTTTGATGCCCTCTGGACAAATCTATTAAACTTGCTGTAGCCTTGGTTTTTGTTTTTTTTTCCCTTTCGTCTTGCAAGACACTGGGGATGGAAGAAGGATTTGGCAGGATCAAAACACTGTTAACAGGGAGGCCGTGCTTCCTGCTGGAAAACCCTGCTCCCCTC